TAATTATTCCATCAGATTATAGCAATAAATAATACCAAACAATGCTGATGCTTCAGTTAATGAATTATAATTACTCTAAATTTGAGCCAAAAAACTATGTGTTCACAGCTTCATATCTATATATGCAAAGCCAAATTCATATCTTAAACTAGATCATCAGAGCCAAAGGGAGTAGTATCAATTAACAAGTTGTTCAACACTGGAGATGCCCACTGTGCTCATTTCTTAATCCATAGGCAATTTAATAGCTTGTAGTCTACTTGGTTCTTTACACCGAACTTAGGAGGTTTTCTCTATTTTATTTTCGTATGTAGAAATTGAAAAAATCAATATTTCTTGAAAAAAATCAAATTTAACTAAAAAGTCCAGTGGCATCATTCTAGTCTTCAGTTCTGCGCACAATCCAGTAGCTGCCATTTATGTATTTCTACACTGAGAATTCTGAAGAAATGTCAAACAGATTCTTCCACTTTGAATTGTTTTTAGTCCTTTTGTACTATAGACACAAATACTGGGTGAAATATTTAGAATTAATCAACTGGCTGCTTGACCTAAAAAATTATTCTGCTTTATATAAAACTAAGAAAACATTTCATTTTAAAATCTAGTAATCACTAATGTTATGTAACGAAGCTTTTTCTCCACCAGACCGCATTGATAGCATAGAGTGTGATCCTGCTCTCTGACTCACCTAGCATCGATCGATCGATGCACGCGACCATATATATATATAAAGACCTCTCACTGCTCTCTCTAATGTGCTTAGTGTGTGTGTGGTAGACTCTAGCCGCTCAGTAATGCGTCTACAACACGTGTTAATCTACGAGAAGATTTGTTTATGATTATTAGCTGATTATCAGGTTGTTTCATATGCTATTTAAAGAGAGATTGATCAATATATTTGGCTGTTATAAAATTATGTAAAAATAATCATGTTCATAAATTCTACAAAGGCAATAAATCGTATATATAAATGAGAATGTACTAAAATGGTCTTCTCTACCCGAATGTATTTGCGTCTCATGACTTACTCAGAACACAATTGATTAGTAAAATGAAGACCAAACTGCGAAATCCATCATAAATCCATATTCATCTGCCTTTTTGAAACACGATTGTAAACTCTTAGTAAGGGGGGTAAAGGATGCCCTACCGATTACTCTGTTGTAACTTTATAAACTAAGCAAGCTGGATAGTTCATTCAAAATTGAATTGTTAGTTCCAACTAAAAATCAAGCAGTTTGAAATATCTTCAAATCTAAAATATATTTAATGTTTCGTCACCTACAATCTTTATAATTAAAGATTGGGCAGAGTTCTTTGCTAAAGCATTTCGATGATCGCCAACCAAGGTTCTTACCACTGGAATGTCCTGAATTAGTTCTGCTTGGTAATCCCAATTATTACAATTGGAAACGATGCGGTTCCTCTCTATTATAGCGCTCTCTCACCACTCGATACTGCAAAGTAGGCTAATGTTAGGAATAATGACATTCCAGCTGTTTATTAAAAAATAGGCTTACCTGGCGTCCTTGCTCAACTATTATTGTTGTAATCACCTATAAAAAGTAAGCGACAAAATGCAACTTATTGAAACCAGTTACAGTCCCAAATGGGCATATGTACTGAAAGCAACATATGCTTTTTTCTTCTTTGTAGTGGCAATTGTTGTTGCCAACATTACCAATTAATGCTTATATACTATACCCCCCTTATATATATAGTATATATACTATATTATATATATATTAGTATTATTATATATAATATATATATATATATATATATACATATATATTATATATATATATATATATATCAGTTTCCTAATATATATATATTGTATAATGCTGAAATAGTGACTTGTCGTGATTGATTATTGTGCAACAAAAAGAAGACAACTGTCCGGAGATTCTGCAACATTTTAAACCGTTGGCAATGCTTGCAGGTGATCGATTGCCATTATTTCAAGCGAACTTGCACAATTATTTCCAATTATTTGTTTCTATTTTTACGATTCACATCTTTAGTGCTTGAAGTGGGGAATTACGCAATTGTCTTACGTTCCTCAGCTACTATTTAGTTTTTTGTTGTGTTTTTTTAAATTCTATTTATCCAGTTAATTATTACTTGCTCATGTTTTCATTATTCTGAGTTTATTTAAATTAGACTGGCTCTACCTAGGTCATATATAGACGTTCTTGTGTTAAAAATCACATGAATTCTTAGCATCAATTGAAAATAAACATGTTGGTTATGGAAATTAATTAATAGATGAAAGGGACTTGTGTCACCCACATCTTTGTTACATCATGGAGTGGCAAAATATAATGGAAGATAGCAATCCATTTTTCTACGAGTTCTGTATTTTTAAACCATTTATAACAGAATTTCACCCTAACCATTGAGATTTTATTGGTTCAGAAGCTACATTGAAAAATTCCGCAAAATAAAAATAGTACTTTCATTATTCACTATAAGCAATCATGAAATTAATACAATATTAATTATTTATTAAAAATTCATTTCTCGACGGGAATATTTCCAAAAACCAGGTCATTCCGGTTCTAAAGATAGGTAACCCTGCCCACATTGAGAAAACTACGCTACATTCCTTGCCAACACAATTTCTCGAATATACTGAAAATATATTTATGACATACTTTACAACACGTTAAGCTATAATTTCAGACGCACAACCTTCAGTATCCTTTCTAAAAGAACAGGTCAGTTCTAACCTCTTAAACATGTTTGGTACAAAATTCATGAATTTCACCTCAAGTAGATGTATATTTATGATCTTTTCAAAGACATTTGTATTTTGAGTCATCGATATCCATTATTGATAAAGTTGTTTATTGAATTCAACCGCTCTAATTGCTTATAAAGTGGATTGGACTTCTTTGCCTCAAAGGGTCCAATGTATATAACAGTGGGTATCAATCGGGGCCCTAAAGATTACATCGGGTCGCTGCGGATTCTAAACACATTATTTCATATACCACTAATTGATTGCTGGCCAATAAATTGATTTTTTTATTTAAACTTTCATATGCAGATAATATGGAAGTTTTTTTACCCGATTAAAAATATAATATTGTTGGCTTTATAGAGAAATCTTTGATGAATTTGCGTAGGGTGTCAAGTGAACAAATTAGATGCAAACCCTGGTAAATGTAATGTTACTTATCAATTTTATAGGAAACATAAAATCGATCATTAATTACACAATTGTAATATACAATCTCAAATGTTGAAGATCTTATTTTTTCAACTTGGATTAGATGGAAAACTAGAATTATGCTGCATGCGTATGGTTTCTGAACGCTGCCTCCGGTCTAGAAATGAATGATTCACTGAAAATTGGATATTTATAGTCGACTGGTTGCCTGCTCCTGTAAGAGAAATACGAGTGAATATTATACAGTGACTCTCTACAATGTTCGTTTGTTGGTTCAAGAGAGCTACAGAATGTATCATTTACTTTCATTAAATTAATTTGCGAGATTGATTGATTCGTCAGGTGCTCACGCTCTATTCCCTCAGCATGATGTGCGCAATTTCCGCTGATCTATATTCAATTTCCCATTCTATGTGCCGCTAATATTTGTTATGCGCTCTACGCTGGTTTCGATTGATTTGTTTATGACTCTATGGAGGTCTTTTTGCGCAATGCATAATCAGTATGTAAATGTCTAAGATGAAGGTAATGTGTTAATATCTTGTAAATAGGCATTAATGCCTTGATAGATTTAATTTTGATTAAATAAATATGACTCATCCAAATCCCATTGTGTCGAACAAAAATGGAATAAGAATGTGTCAGATAAGGCAATCTTTCACAACAGTATACATACTCTATTGAAGCATAATTTCTGAAGAGTGCTCTACTGATGTAGATAAAACAATTGTGCAGAATTAATTCTTGCAAGGGACATAGAAGAGTTAAAACAACTTTGCTGGCATGGGATGTTGAAAGAGCCATAATCTGTAGGGACATTATGAGCATGTACAGTCTCCAGAAAAATTATTATCATTACATGGTTGGCAGTAAAAAAGCTATTACTGTAAAATCAGATCATTTGGATCAAATAAAAATCAGCAAATTAAGTGATGTTAATGATGCAATGCTGTTAAAAACTATGTTGACACAAATGCCG